CACTATTTTTTTTAATGGACGGATGCCCAAAATATTTTAGTACATTTGAGAAAAGCTCACACCCATTTTCAGCCATTATGTTTTTCAGCGTTACCCCCCGCCACATCATCATTGGGTCACGCGCTCAGCAAATTTTTATTTTTCTTTTCCGTTTTTTTTTCCGCCTTTTCTGTATCAGTTTCTTTAATGGACTATGAAGCATTGTCGATTAACCTTAATCCACTATGCTTCATAGTCGATTAAGGAAATTATTTATTTTTTTAATTTTTTTTTATTTTTTAATTTTTTTTTTCTACATCATGTATATTAATCGACTATGATGTGAAGCATAGTCGATTAAGAATCTGCTACTAAAAATAACAAATCACAACTGCGAAAAAAATATAAAATCAACTATACATTATAAAAACAAAAAAATATACAAATATTATAAATAATTTATACACTTGGAATAAATAAACAGAAAGTTCAAAAAAAAAAAAATTGGAGTCCATCAATCTTAATCAACTGCTAGAGCATAGTCGATTAGCTTAATCGACTATGAACATGTACATAGTCGATTAAGGTTTCAGCATGCGCGAAATTCTCTACCGGCGCCGTCCTCCGCCCGATCCACCAAAAAACCTTAAATCTGTCTCCCATCGTCACCACACCGCCGCCACAACACACCATCATCACCTTACTTTGACATTATGACATTTTTTTATTACAAATAAATAAATAAAATCACAACTCGCACCACCAACCAAAGTAGAACCACCACCCATCAAAATCAGATTCCGGCGACAAATCGACAATCTATAGCATTCCTGGCATTTGAATTCAAAATTGCTATCAGAATCATTTATAATGTTTGATGGGTGCTTCATCTTCTTTCTTTCTCCATCTCCTGGCGACGGCGGCGGCGACGACAGTGGCGGAGCAGTCACAGAGAAAATAAAGGAAAAAAAAACAAAGAAGAAGAGAAAAGAGAGAAGAAGAGAGACGTTGGAGCGTGAAAACGGCGGATGAAAAAATAAAAATAAGATTAGGGTTTTAAAAGAGTATAATAGACAATTAAGGGTAATCTTGGAATTATGAAAATATCACATGAGTTGAATATTAGTTAAAGGGGTTTTCTCTAATTATTTTTTGGATGAGGTGTTTTCTTAACTCATTTTCCTAGATGAGGGGGTTCTTGCTAATTATCCCTTAGCAAAAAGGCTTCTAAGAGGGGTACTTAATTAAAAAAATAATTTCCAACTCTTTTGTCTTTTAAATATTTCCATCTCATTCAATCTTATTTGCAAATAAGAAAAGCCCTTTTACGTATACCAAAATTACCCTCAATTGATTGAAACTCAATTCAACTCCAATTTCATAATTTACACCTTAATTTAGCCAATTTCACCAATTAACTAGCCAATTTCACCAATTAACCAATCTATCTATATCTATCTACTTATTATAAAAGGACGAAGGATGAATATAGGTATTTGTTACTTCCATGTTTTCTTCTTACGGGGCAACAAAGTCATATTGGTTAATTTTATCAATTTTAATTGGGATGATAATAAATAAGCCCATCAATGGGTACTTATTCATAAAGAGATCCGACAAAAATCTTATTTACCAATAAGTCGACACATGGTCCAGATTTTTGTAAAGGACTAAAATAACACCTCATACTTTAATATGCTCCAATTTAATCCTTAACATAATTTAACCTCAATTTGACCCCAAATTTCACAAATTATTCAATTTTTACTCAAAACTTTTTTTTTTTCCAAAAAAAAAATTTCAGAATTTTTTTTTCCGCCGGATTCCGGCGTTGACTTTTTCGAATTTTTTTTTCTTCTTTTCTTTCTTTCTGTAACTTTTTTTTTTCGTTTAAACAGCAATATTGCTGTGATTGACAGTAATATTAACTATATTACTGTTAAACACAGTAAAATTAACTAAAATACAGTTTAACACAGTAATATTGCTATATTAATCTCTAACACAGTAATATTAACACAACAAAATTCATTATTATTGTGTAATATAGTAATATTACTATGTTGACCGTTCAACAAATGTAAACATAATAAAAAGCCAAAAAAATTAATATTACTGTGAGTGACAGTAATATTACTATAACAACAGTAATATTACCGTCAACCACAGTAATATTACAATAATAGACAGTAATATTATTACGTTACTCCGTGAATAACTCAAACAAACAAAAAATCCAAACAAAATAATAATATTGATGTGGTTGACAGCAATATTACTGTAACAACAGTAATATTACCGTCAACCACAATAATATTATTGTGTTTACAGTAATATTACAATAATATACAGTAATATTATTGTGTTTACAGTTATTTTACTGTCGACGACAGTAATATAATTACGTTGACTTGTCAACAAATCAAAAAAAAATAATAATAATACTACGTTAATTTACTGTCAACGACAGAACAATGACATAAATGTATTGTCAACGCCTCAACGGCAGTACAATTACGTTAATTAACTGTCATTGACAGTATAATTACGTTAATTTACTGTCAGTGTCAGCACAATTACGGTCAACGTTTAGCGGCGGATGTAAAAAAAAAAAAAAAAAAAAAAAAGCACTAAAAAAAATCAACGCCGAAGACCGCCGGTCAACGCCGAAAACCGGCGAAAAAAGAAAAGAAAAATGAAAAAAAAATAAAAAATATAAAAAAATAAAAAAGTCAACGCCGGAGACCGACGAAAAATCCGAAAGAAAGAAAAAAATGAAAATTAAAGTATGAAAGTGGAGCATATTAAAGTATCCGCCAAAAAAAGTCAATATTGATTTTTTGTGGTCAAAATTGGATTTTTGTAGACAAAATTGATTAAATTGGAGTTACAATTAAGAATTTGGTATAAATTGTTGAGGGTAATATTGGGATATGCTTGAATGTTTCCTTTATTTATAATTAATATTAAAGAGATGAGCTTATTGGTGAAAGAAATATAGCCCCTAAACCTAGAATAATAAAGATGTTTGGTTGGGGACTTATGCACAAAAATCCCCATTTTAATTAAGTGAACACACTACGCCAAAACACATTTCAGGCGACGTTTTTTTGCGACGTAAAACCCCGTTTGCGACGGAATCGATAATTTTGCGACGTTTATTTTGCGACAAAATTTGCCGGAAAAAAGTCAAAAAAGTGCCCGTCGCAAATATGTGCGACGTTTTTCCTTTAAGTCGCAACTGTTTGCGACGATTTAGTGTAACCGTCGCAATGTTGTAATTTTTTCTTCTGCTAATTTATTGCGACGAATTTATCTATATGTTGCACATTTCGTCCACCAACCGCGACACATATATATCGTCGCAAAGTTTTTGCGACTATATTTTCCGAAAAGATTTCGTCGCAATTGTTTTTAACTTTGCGTCCTTTTTTTAATAAAGTCGCACAATTTTGTTACGACATTGCGACGAATATATAAATACTGTCGCAAATTTTTTTTCTGCTATTGCGACTAATATCCAAAAAACGTCGCAAATATATAAATATTTTTATTTAATATTTTTACTGATTTTTATTTTAATTGTTATTTGACCTGTAATAATAAACAATTCCAATATAATTAAATACACAAAAACATTAAACAACTCGCTTAAATTAAATAATCCAAAACATTCTTCCAAAACATAAAATCGTCGAAACATTCCAAAACATAAAATCATCCAAAAATTCTATCAAAACACAAGATAATCCAAATAACAACTTAAATCATCCAAACATGAAATAAAAGTACCCAAAACCAATGTTGTAGAGGAAACTAGTTGTCGTCGCCGGGTGGATTCTGGGGATGGAACTCGACACGTTTAGCCCTAAAATATTCGACCATGGCTTTCATAGTACTCTGCATTTGATTCATCTCGTCCTTTAAAGTCTTGTTGTCTTCTTTAAAAGCCGCTATTTCTTCATCTCTAGCAACACATGCAAGATGAGTTGGACCTCGCCCCTTTCTTTGAACTTGAGCAACCAAGTCCTAGTCTTTTAGTTTTTCCTAGTACTCGTTCGCAAGCAATCATGTTAGCGGTGCTTTCATCACTCCCATCATTCATACATTCTTGATAGACTCTGTCCAAATTCGCCTGAGTAATATAAAAAAGTGTATTAACACTAATTACTTGATACGATGTATAAAATAAAATAATAATTCAAATAAAAATATACCAACTAATTTGCTCAACCCAAACATTTTCAAGTAAACAAAAACACAATAATTCATATATAAAGATCGACCAACTACATTAAACAATCAATATATATAAATACACCAACTACATTGGTCAACCCAAAGATGTTCAAGTAAACAAAAACACAATAATTCATACATAAAGATCGACCAACTACATTAAACAACCAACATATATAAATATACCAACTACATTGCTCAACCCAAAGATGTTCAAGTAAACAAAAACACAAGATTTTATATATAAAGATCGACCAACTACATTAAACAACCAACATATGCTCAACTAGGAAATAAAATAACAATTCAACAAAAATAAGCATCAACTTCATTAGAGAACCTAATAGACACAATTACTCAATTCACGTAAAGATCCACCAACTACATTACACAATTCATCGATACCTAAGTACGAAATAAATCCATAATCCATCAACTACAATACAACCCAAACATGTTCAAAATAGCAAATAAAGCATCGATACAACTAAAATATTAACTTACCGCAATGGCACGTAGTTTGGGCTTTCCTCTTTGATCTACTTGTCGCTCACCATCACCCCCACCAATCTCACTATCACTACCATCAACAGGCAAAGACATCATCATAAAAGAACGCTGCATGCACATATTTGGTGGTAAGTTGTAAGTCATTAGAATAACCGGCCACGTGCTATACTTACTACTCAATGATCCAAATGGATTGAATCCATTTGTAGCCAAGCCGAGCCTTACATTTCGGGGGTCTGAAGCAAATGAATCATGCTTCTTATCAAATTCTTTCAGCCATCAGAATCGGCAGGGTGCCTTAAACAACCATCGTTACACCGAGACTCAGCATGCCATCTCTTATGAATTGATGTTTTCTCACATATGAACAAACGTCTGAGTCTAGGAATTAACGGGAAGTGTCGGGGAACTTTCTTAGGTACTCTTTTGTGATGAGAGGTTGAACAACTTGGTTCATTTTTTGTGGGACTCTTCCATCTTGAAACATTACACACTTTGCATTTGTCCAAGTCTTTGTCATTCTTCCAGAACAACATACAATCATTCTCACATGCATCAATTTTGACATAACCGCATCCCAACTTCCCGATAAGCTTCTTAACTTCATAGGAAGAATCGGGAATATTTAGGGAAGGAATCTTTTTCATAAGTTGGAGGGTTTCTGAAAATGTCTTATCACTCATTTTACCCCGAGATTTGATTTTGTAAAAATCCATCATGAAGGAAAGTTTAGAATTATCTGTGCAACCTTCATATAAGGGGATACACCACTCTTCAATGAGTTTGCGGCGATCATCACTTTCTGAGCTGGACTCTTCACCTAGGGCATGTTGAGTAGGATTGAGACATGCTTGCAATAATTCATCCATTGTGGGATTAATATCGGCACTCATGTCATCGTCTTCATTCACATGTACAGCACCAAACCCCCCTACTTCACTAGCTTCTTCTTCGGGTACTTCGCAAAGATCCGGACGGTACTCTTCATCAGACTCCAAATGCATTACCCATTGTCCTTCGCCATAGGATTTATCCCAGCCCCTCCAAAGTAAATGCTCATGAACGAATTCACGATCCCCGACTTTTCGACATTTGCAGTCTCTATATGGACACCTTATTTTGTCATCAATGGCCGCCTTATCGAAAGCAAAGTTGAGAAATTCTAAACAACCATTTTGAAATGCGTCTAATCGATGATCATCTAGCAAAACCCAACTCCTATCCTTCCGCATTTTTAGTTAGAAAATATTCGCAACTGAGGAACATAGAAGGTAACGAGAGAGTTAAATTTATATATTCGTCTCTCTCGGAATAATTTAATTTCGGAGTATATATATAATAGGGAAAAAATATTTTGAAAATAATATTGTGATCTCTTTCAAGTGTAAGTTTGGTATCTTATGGGACCCGTTTTTTAAACTATTTAATTGACACCGTATTAACTATTAATTACTGAAATTAATTTAAATTTTTAATATATTTTACACAATTAAAAATTTAGGAAACTGATTAAACTGAATATTTGAAATTATGTGTGTTAAATGCCCATATCTTACTTATACTTAGCCTGATGAAGTTAATAAAATATTGCTAGCATATAAAGAGTATTTGAAACTGTTATGGGTTAGAGAGAGATTGACAAATGTGATCACTGTTATGTATTTACCATTATATTAACCATTCCCATTAATATCACTGCTTAGTATCATCATCATCAACAATTAATAAACAAAATTCTAAATTAATAATGTGTACATAATTTAACAAAGCACATATATATAAAATAATTTAACAAAGATTTTATATACATAAAATAATTTAACTTACCCTCTACAAATTCGTGCAGTGGCTTGTTCAAATCCTTGGGATTTATGAAGTTTGTGATCCCAATTGCTTTACCTATTAAAACAAAATTTCATAATTTATTGATTATTAATTACTCCAAGTGGATGAATATACTATAGTACAATAAATTAAATGGCGAGTTTATTTATTTATTAATTTAATTTGATATCTTTAATAATTTTATCGGGATTAATGTCAACTCCAATAATTCTTGATGCTCCTCACGTTCTTGCCCCTTCAACCACCTTCACATTAATTCAATGAAATTGAAGCTGTCAACATTATTTCGATTTTTTTTTATTTTTTTTAAAGAAATAATTTTTCTTTTGTTTTCTAATAATAATAATTCATGAATCATTGATAATAAAATATATAAAATATAATTATGCAGAATAAATAAAAAAACTTACGGCAAGTCCCACGGCTCCGACGGCGGGAGCGGGAGCGGCAGCGGTGGTGCGAAACAGGGAGGAGGAGCGGGAGAAGAAGGCTTCGGTGGTGGCTCGGCCTTAGTAACCGGTGATGTCGTCGGCACGATGGGGGAGGATTTTTGTGGAGAATATTGAAGCGGCGGCGGCGGTGTGGAAGACGGAGGAGGAGCTGAGATAGAGGGATTTTGGCGGTGGCTATCACAAGGCCTTATGCCGTCAGCCGCGACACCGACGGCGACGGCGACGGCGGACTGATTTGCTTCGGCGGAGGAGGGGTGTGGGAGCAGCTGTGATTTGGGAAGAGACGGACTTGGGCAAACGTGTTCTGAAATTAGGGTGGGGAAAGGGGTTTTAATTTGGTTTCGCGACGTTTATACTTAATACTCGCAGGACCGAAAATTTCCTTGCGACGTTTTCCTATATTTTAGTCGCCACAACAAACTTATGAAAATAAAATAGCGACTTTAGTTAATTAAACATCGCAACAGAAAAATTGTGAAAAAAAAACCAATTATATTGCGACGTTTCAATCCATTGCATTATTTACGTCGCAAAACAAATTTAGAAATTTTTAATTGGAAAACATTGCGACGAAATAATATATAAACGTCGCCAATTTTCCAATCACCTTGCGTCGTTTCATAATTATCTCGCAAATATTATTAATTAAAAAAAATAAAAAATATTTTTTTCTCTTGCGACGACTATTTACAATAACGTCGCAAAATTGCGACGTATGTAACCGATTAGTCGCCTTTTCTTCCGGGAACTTTTCGTTTAAAAGTTTGCGATGATTCCTGCGGCGTAATTTAGAAGCGTCGCAATATTTACTCATTTTTTAGAATTTGAATTTAAATTATGCATTATTGCGACGATATGTTAAGAAACGTCGCAATATGAGCGACGTTTACAATATCGTCGCAACGAAAACATCGCCTGAAAAATTTGGCCTAGTGACATTAAAATGGTACACAAATTAATTTCCAATATTGATTAGTATTTAATGATTAACAGTGAATCTTAGCCAACAAACTACTTCGGTCATTTCAAAGATGGGCAATTGAAACAATTTCTCAAATAACTTAAGAGTCATAGAAAGACTCAAAATCCAAAACCCTTGATATTCGTCTTCCTTCAATCTATATTGGAAGACTTTAATATCCTTAAATAGTGTTTAAGGAGTGTGCTAAACAACCTAAACCAAGCTTAGTTTTATGGGATATTATATATTAGTATTATTGTGTTTAATGCAATATAATTTATTTAAAAATATGTATTTATCCCAAATTTTTAATACTTATATTTATAAAAAAATTTACAAAACAAAGATATCTAGGATTTAAAAAAAAAACAAAGATATAAACTAACTGAAATGTTTAATGTCATTTTAATTTTACTAATATCATTTTGACTTCTAATATGATTTTGACCATGTTTTAGGCTGAATTATGCAACTTGAATAAACAAGATTGAACGTCGGATGAGACAATTATGCATTAATGAATTACACTTTGAAATTTAGACGATGTTCATTGATTCATTCATATCGTTTTCATCCAACATCCAATCTTAGTATTCAAGTTGGATTAGAAAGTTAACTCATTAAAGAACTAAACATTCAGTTTGAGTTTTGCCAAATTCAACCTTAATACGAGTCAAGATCACGTTTGAAGTCAAAACTGTATTTTTAAAAGTGAACGACGACATTTATCACATCGCCATAAAATAATCATAAAGTTTAACTCAACTATTTCATTTATATTTGCAGTCAACCAAACTAACAAATAAATTATTCTAACTAACGTAACTTACGCATTTCAATAAGTTATCATTAGTATATATAATTAAGAATATATAACTTTTAGAACACTTTTACTTAGTCCCAGGCTTTTTTATATTCTAATTAGTATTATTTCTATTACTTTCTAACAAAATTCTTAAAATATTTCAAATTAAATTGTAAAATAGGAACAAATATCTTAGTATTGTTTGTTATATCTACATGGACTCAAGCAACCAATAAAATGGCTCCTTTGCATGTGATACAATGGCTTTGCACGTGATTGCATGATGTGCATACATGGGACTTCTAGATATGTCCGTAGCATTTTAGCAAATTAGATCAGTACATGTATTTGTATACGTGGAAGTTTTATACTCCCTGATGATGTATATAAATAGATGATTAATTCAATGAAGAAACACACTTCTTCCAAAATACAGTAGCTAAAGTCCTTACAGTAAATACACACTTTACATCTTTCAATTTCATCTGTAGCTTTCGTATAATATATATTTTGTAGTTTGCAGAATTACAATATACATAATATATTTCGTTTATATACACATATATATATCTTCGATTTATATACACATATATATATCTAACGAATAAATAATTGAGATACGGAAAGCTCTACTCGATTGGGTTAAAGGAGTGGTAGACGCCACCGAATGGTGATAAACATTTTCGTTTCAAATATTTAAAAAATATCAATTAACCAAATATATAATGTATTATTTAAAAAAAAAATTCAAAAAATATCGGTATTCGAAAACCGATTTTGTACTCAATAATCAACATTAGAACGCCGATTTTGACTTGTAAAGTCGACGTTGTGTCGCCGATTTGGTTAACAAAAATTGGTATTATGACGCCGATTTTCGTGTACAAAATCGGTCTGGATAAACCGATTTGGGAAACCAACGAAAAAAATAAAAAAACCAATTTCAATCTTAATTTTTTTTCCAAAATCGGCCAAATCATTGCAACCCAACAAGAAATAAGCATAGATTAATGTTCGTTCATACATATTTAGCATAGATTAATATTTAGCCGTCGTGATATTTCTTTTTTGTTTTGTTTTCTTTTTTTTTTTTAATTTTTTTTTGGTCTTGAACAAATTAAAAATAAGATTTATTTGTATTTGAGTATTATTTGTGGATAAGGGTATATTTGTCATCTTTGGTCTTGATGTAATAAAATTAGATTAATTTACGGGCTTGAACTAATAAACTCATTTATGTGGTTTTGAACTAATAAAAAAATGGACATGCATATAACGGCGCCAATTTTTTTATGACATGGGGGAATCGCGCAGTTGCGATTTTTACATGGATAGTAAATGCAATTAACTCTTAACATATAATTCCAACCTTTGAATTAATGATATAAACTTTCTAAAATAAATAAACTTAAGTATCATTAAATTAGACGTCAGATCAATAATACAGCACAAATTAATGACCGGTCATAAATGAATGGCTTAAAAAATCTCAACTACCAGATGCTCATCATCTTGAGATTGCCAAGTTTAATTTATAAATAATTTATTAGAAGTTGATGATTCAAAACCATATAAATAATAAATATTCAATATAGATATAATATTTTTCCATGTTTAACAAGTCATGATGTATAATGTATTACAAGTTTTCTTTGACTTTATATCCGATATATATATATATATATATATATATATATATATATATATATATATATATATATATATATATATATATATATATATATAACCCAACCAGTTACAGAAGTAGCCCAAAAGAAGAAAAAAGAAGTAACAAATGGATGGGCTGTATGTAGTAGCAACCTTCTCAATCTCAACTTTGTTCATGTCCATTTTATGGTACATCAAAACCTCACAAGGTAGAAGAGCAAATCCTCCCCTGCCACCTGGTCCCCTCGGGCTTCCGATCCTCGGATATTTGCCGTTTCTCGGCAACAATTTATTCCAAAAATTCACGGAATTGGGACACAAATATGGTCCGATATACAGTATCTCTCTCGGGAAAAAATTCTGTGTTGTAATAAACTCACCATCACTCGTAAAAGAGGTAGTCCGCGATCAAGACTCTGTTTTCGCAAATCGTGACATTCCTGCTGTAGGAATCGTTGCGACTTACGGTGCGAACGACATCGTCTTCTCCGAGCTCAATTCAAAGTGGCGTGCGATGAGAAAAATATTCGTTCAAGAGATGATGAACGCCAAAAGTCTCGATGCATCCTATAATCTTCGCAAGGATCAGGTTAGAACGGCAGTTAGACAAGTGCATGCTAAGATTGGAAATCCCGTCGAAATCGGACCGTTGATTTTTCGCACCGAGCTAAAGGTCATGATGAGCATGTTGTGGGGCGGGAAATTTGAAGGGGAAGAGGGCGAAAGAATTGCGTCTGAGTTTCTGGCCGTGGCACCGAAGCTTGTTGATTTGTTCGGAAAGCCGAATATTTCTGATTTCTTTCCACTTCTTGCTTGGCTTGATATTCAAGGAGTAAAAAAACAGATGGAGACTTATATGCAAATTGTCGACAAGATTTTCGAAACCGTTATCACCCAACACGAAATGAATTTATCCGGAGAAATCAAAGAAGGGAAGAAAGATCTTCTTCAAATCTTGTTGGAGATTCAAAATAAGCAAGATTCAGAGATTTCAATCAGTCGCAAACAAATTAAGGCAATATTTATGGTACGTGCCTTACTCTAAAGTTACAATTCAGGTAGAAATTAATCTTAGATCAGTATATATAACATTTATTTGAGAAAACCCGTGAACTAAGTTCATTTTACAGCAAGAAAAAAAAAAAGAACATAAAGCATTCATTATTCCCAAAAACCCCCCACTGCATTTAGTTTTCGTCTTACGTTGTCCCCTCGCGGTGCGAATTCTGGCATAGCATATTCTTCACAAAATACCAACTTTACCCTAGGCGGCTATTGTAATATTTATTTCATGACAAGAGTAATTGTTGACTTTATTGCAACTAGTAATCGTGCCCGTGCGTTGCACGAGGTCGCATTCAAAAAGGAAAAAAAACTAATTGTTTTGAATAAATAATAGTACAAATTGTAATAAACAACCTATTAAATAATATTGAAATGACATTGTTATTACCTTATTTAATTGTAGCATATATTTTTCATCCAACAATATATATATACCGAGTGTCAATGCATAATATATGTATGTTAAACAAAAAATAATACAAATTTAACAACACAGACAATTATTTCAAATAGCAATTGTTTCTCACTTCAATACCATGTAAATAAAAAATAGATAATGACATTTAAACTCTTAATAAAAATCAGTATCAGACAAACATATATATTCTTCTTCTTCTTCTTCTTCTTCTTCTTCTTCTTCTTCTTCTTCTTCCTCCTCCTGCTCCTCCTCCTCCTCCTTCTTTTTCTTCTTCTTCTTCTTCTTCTTCTTTTTAAGGAGCTTCTACAATAACATGCAATGTGGAGAACGAAAAAAGAACACGATGTTGTGTATGTTCCAAAACAAACCTATATTGTTTTTAAAAATGTAAAAAGATAGAACCTACCCGGAAGTCCATTTTTTCAAAAAAAAGTATACCCTTTTTTGGAGGAAGAAGAAGCAACAAATTCTGGTGCTTCAAAAAACGTACACGAAAGCAAAATACATTCCACAAACATGAAACCACTATATCAAAAAATATTGCATATTAAAAAAAAGGGCAGCTATGGAAAATGTATCAATTACATGTCTCATGTTAGTTTTCCATTTAAGTTAGGCATATCATAAGTTATTGTGGCAATTACTTCAGAGTTCAATATATACTATGACATTATTATTTCTCGCATAGATGGTCGATCACATGCACCTTTTTTGCCTCTTACTTCTCTCTATGTTTGGGCTGAACATAATTCTATAAAATCGTGATCAAGAATAAATAATTTGAAGGACAGTATAACAATTTATGGATACTGAGTGAATTCAGGAATGATGATCTTGGATTTTGCTTCGTGTTTTATGTGAAATTTATTAACCTAAAAAAAGTCTCTTTGATGCATGAAAATATCACCAAACACTGTTCTTTTTGTGGAAAGTCATATTAAAAATAACAAGCACAATAATCCCAAAAGATAATTAGTAAAAGATACATAAGCATTGTCCCAAAATATTGTGACACTACGCTGGACTCTGAACCTCATAGATAATTATAGATCAGAAATAAAAATAATTTTCAGATTGTTTACTGACTCTGCTCTTAGAGTTTGTATTGAACTTGAGACCGGAGGCTATAGAACTTCAGGCCTATACTAATCCTTTTCCAAATCACCAATGCAAGTAATAACACGTTTCTCGAGGACTGACAGTGCTTACGCAAGTGTAGCACCAACAAACCATTCAATTGATCAATATTACTTTGAGTATGCCCATGAAGATTTACTAACAAAAAATAAATAAATAACAGACAATCAAAGTGAAAGCCAATTACTATAACAACAATAGCAGTTCTGCAGATCTCTGATCGTTTGTTGCTATTCATCCGAATTTATGAAGAAAGTTAATACAAAATATGGGGAAAAAAAACGTCTGTCTACAAACGTGGGAAGTGGAGATCGTTTTCTCTAGGTTTTGAAAAAGATATGGAAAAAACAACTGTCGAGAAAATCTGAGAGAAGGAAGAAATGCAGAATTAAATTAAAACAAAAAAAAATCGGCAACAAATAACGTAGGATGTGGAAATGGATTTACGTAGCAAGCGGAATTATCATTGCAAAAAATAGAAGAAAAATCTGCCAAATAGAAAATGTCTAAAACACCCCTAGGTTTAGATCTAGGATTATAAGTAAAAAATCTTCCTTTTATATATAAAACTAGTAATACACCCGTGCGATGCACGGTTATTACATATTGTTAAATGTTTTTAGCGGAAAATACATACTTCCAATATTTGATTGAATAAAAAGGTGAATAAATATAGGTTTATTTTAATTACTCAGTACCATGCCATGGAATACTCAGTACCATGCTTATTAGTGACTTTAGACCACCATAGTTAGAACACAACATATACTACTTAGTATTATTAACCGTGATATAAATTCAAAATGTTGATCTAAAAAGAATAAATCCACGGAGCATAGTTTTAGCAATGAAATTAGTTTCATTTTAATGTTTATAGTGATTGCAAAAAGTGTCAAGGATCACGGAGGAAGATTATGATGCAATCCCAAAAGCTATGACAACATGAGGACTAAACGCAAAAACCAAAGTGAACTTTATTCGACCAACATCAAGATCAAGAAAAATAAGCCAAATTAAAAAAAACATCATAAATATTGTATACAAAATGTGCAACTGTTTATGTAACACCTCAATTCACGCATAAACATCACTATATAAATGTTGATGCAAATTAATGGTTTCATAATGCTGTTCTATCCTCAAGCATCGGACACTTGTAGATGGTTAACCTGTAGAAGACAAATTACGATTAATGATATTTTAACTAATTATTGCAAAATAATATTGAAACAGAACAAACATTGAACATAGGATTTTGGCAAAGTGACACAAAGATGTAAACACATGTTAACTTGAAGTAACGTCCAAAATAAGAATTCCTATAAATACTAAACAGTTAAAAAATTCCATGATTTCTAAAATCTCTAGATTTTGCATGACTTTATAGAAAAACACTAAAAAAAATCCAGGATTTCTAAAATCTCTAGATTTTGCCTGATTTCAGAGCAAAAAATGAACAATAAGCATCCACACAACAATCGAAATATAGAAACTCAAAGATTTAACCGAGAAACTCAGCCAAAGCCAAAGACAGAATTGCTGCAAAAGCAAACAACTTCTTAAAATTTCTAGTCAAATAGCAAAGATTTGAATAAAACCTACAGTGAAACTAAAAAGGGAAGGGACCTTCAGCAAATGTCACCCTTTAGTCGGAAGAAGAGCTCACATGGTGCACAGTAATTTATGATAAGAGAGGGATTTAAGGTGTTGGGGAAAAAAAGATAAAAAAAAAAAAAAAAAAAAGATACAAAGATACAGAGAGAGAGAGAGAGAGAGAGAGAGAGAGAGAGAGAGAGAGAGAGAACCGAAAAATAGGTCTGTTCTCTAGAAAACAATAAAAAAACAGCAAAATTATAAGAACATCGTACTAAAGACCAAGAAAAATAAGCCAAATTAAAAAAAAAAAAAACATCATAATCATTGTATACAGATGTGCGACGGTTTATTTTACACCTCAAGTGATACATAAACATCATTATTACTCTATATAAACGAAAAAAAATGTGTATTCGCATAAACACACAGAAGAAAGTAAACAAATCCCTTATTAAAATCACATTAAAATTGTCCTGTCACTCAACTTATGAGATAGCAACGGGGATGAGAATATAAAAACAGATACACAAAAACAAAACTCACCTAGACAACAACAAAAAGTTCCCCGCACTATTGCTCCGCAAGTTCAACTGTTATTCTAACCTGGCCATCCAATAACCCAAATGATAACATTATTATTAACAAAAAACACTGATGCAAATTAAGATAGATTATGGGATATCTAAAGATTAAAACCAATAAATTTGGGAATTACCATCAGATTTATTTAACCAAAATAATATGTCATGAATAATTTATATAACTAAAACAAATAAAGTTTAAGATTTATAGTAAAAATTAAATGGTAAACACTATTGTGAAGATGCTTGAATAAATAATAGAAATAATATTGTGTAAAAAATATTTTCACTGTGATTCTTATGATAATTCCTTAGATAAACCCAATAAATTTTATTGCAAAATGCAATTACCCCTCGTGTCTGTGAGGAACATTTTTTTATGCAGCAAAAGTATACATTGAAAATTAATACACTCAAAATGGGTTAGTAACGCTGCAATATTTGTCCCGATTATATTCTAACAAATTAGAGAAAATAGCGGAGAAATATAAGGGGATCATCGTGTAGAGCAACTATTTGAAGACATGGAAAAATTGAAAAATAAAACTTAGATAGCAAGAGTACAAAAATTGTTCCTAAATTGCACCATGAAAAATATATTCTTATTTCTATATAAGATAATATATATTCATATATACACACAACTATTTTTATATAACAACACACACACACATATTTGCAGCTATTCAAAAGAAGCTATTGATGTTAGAAGAGATCCATAGGATACTGATGGAGGATTGAGAAGAGGTGGAAGAAAAGGCTGGGGATGGATTTATCCATATAGATATAAATATGCGGCATACACATTTGAAATTTATATAATCAAAGAATTTGTGATTTTTGAATCCGACATTTATGATCAAAGAACAAAATATTTAATCACCCCAAACATACAGAACAAAGAACCATTATCCAAGAACAGCAAGATAAAAAATACATTGTTTGCCTAATTTTTTACATTCTCCAACTATACGAAAATTACTGGTTTATTTTAGTATTTAGCAAGAGAAGTCCATAGAAGGGATGATGAAAAATAATAAGCATGAAAGTAATGGTTAAAATAATACCTGTCCTTCTTAGTTATAGTTCCCAAATGGATCTTTATGCAGATGTAATCTCGATTTTCAGGAATTTTACCTGT